GGTGTGTATGTGTGTGCGTGCGTGCGTGTGTGCGTGTGTGTTATGTGTTTTGTGTTGTGTGTTGTGTGTTGTGTGTTGAGTGTTGTGTGCGTTTGTCTATGTGTGTGCCGGGGCTGGGGGCCGGGGAGGTTCGCTCATTCCCCGGCTGTAAACCAGAACGCCGTATCGCCACACCAACTCGAGTCAGGCGCGCGCCTCGCAAGCAATGCCAACGGCGGTGGCCGAGGGGTTGGTACGTTGGTGGGGCACGGTCTACTGTACAGCCGCCCAACACCGCCACACACCCGATCGCACGCTGCTCTGCGATCCCATCCGTCAAGGACCGGCCCCTTCCAAGCCCTGGTGGGATCTACTGTTGCCAAAGACGCGCGTCGCATCATACGAGCACGAACCAGCTCCCACGACACCGCCTGGCAGGCGTGCGTGCCTGCTGCCGTGGTGTGTTGCCAGCTGGCGTGGAAGGTTGTCAGGCCATTTCAGCGGTATTGATGTGGGCGCACCGGACCGCGCGACTCCGCACATGCGCATTGCAGGGTCGAGTGTGTGGGAGCGCGGGTGTGTGAGAGAGAACGCACTGCCTTGCATTCCGCTTCGATCGATGGCAGGGTGCGGGCTGCAGCGCGACGGGCCAGGCTCACAACGTCTGCCCCCCCGAGCCGAAGAACTAACAGACAGCGGAGGTCGCGGACATTCCCACGGCCCTTGCAAACAATCGTTCCCGAAGCGGACACATTCAGCCCCTCAGACCGAAGAGCAGGCCGACGCCCACGGGCGATTGCGAAAAGTTGTGCGGAAGAGGCGTGATACAACATCGCTTTCAATACAGGAGCGCGGTCGGCGAAGCGGACACCGCTTGGCTCCCCCCCGAGCTGTAAAACCTATTGGTGGAGGAGGTCGCGGACCATTAGCCAGCCTACGTAGGCAAAAGCCAATTGTCGAGGCGGACAAACGCAGCCCCTCGAACCGAATAACAGGCTGGCGGCCACAAGCGTAAGCGGAGCCTCCAATGTCCATCTGCTGATCTGCCACCGCTTGAACCTCCACGGATGGCCGTTGAACGCGCCGACCCAAAACAGTCAGTCAAGGCCTTTGTTGACTGACTTGGTCCGTCGGCGTTTGGTTTGGTTGGTGGGCTGTAGAAGGACCCCTTTTCTTCCTGCAGCACACGCTCCACTTAGACTCCAGGGGTCGCGCAGAAACCCACCTAAACCGTAACGCCACACGCGTGTAAATAAGGAGGGAGGGAGGAGAAACGAAAGTGGGGACTGAGCTGCAGCACGGCGGGCATTGCGGACAGATCTTGCCCCCCCCCCCAGCCAGAGAACCAAGTGGGGGTGGAGGTCGTAGACCATCAGCCACCCTGGGCAAAAGCCGGTTGTCGAGGCGGACTAATCCAGCCTTTCGAACCGAAGAGCAGGCCGACGATCACCAGCGCCAGCGGAAAGGTGCACGGCAAACGGCGTGATACGACATTGCCTCCGAGGATGTATTTTTGGAGAGGTGAGCGGAGAAAGAGCGGAGAACGGGGAAGGGGGGAGGCGTGAAGGTCCAGTCAAAAGCCAGGAGCAGCGATCAAGCCAACAGACGAGCCGTCGCGCGCACCCAGGGACGGGGAGAACGGCAAAAGTGCGGCGGATTAGAGAAAGCCGGGAGTTGGGCATCAGAGCCTGGAGGACCGTGTTCCGAAAAGCCACGTCCGGAACACAGTTCGGAGGACTTCGTCCAGAACGTGGTTTCTCAGCGGGCGCGTCTCGCCGCAAGCACGAACGAAAAGAGGGGGGAGGGTACGGGGAGGGAAGCGACAGACAGCGTGCTGCCGAGGATGGGCCGGCGGCTGGCATACCAAACCAATGTCTCCGGAAGCAAGCACGCAGCTGCTCGTCTCAGCGCAGGCATGCTGCGTGCGTGCGTGTGTAAAGCCGCACAGCGTAGCACAGCACAGCACTACACAACACAGCACAGCACATCGTGTGTGTGTGTGTGTCTGCTGCGGGATCCAACGCGACTCCTGAGGGCCCAGCCGCGGCTCCGCGCTTCGTACTCTTACTGTTTAATTACGCATCGTCACCGCGCGCGTGGCTGCTACCGCCAATATAAAACATATATATATATATATATATATCTATATATATATACGTGTGTGAGTGTGTGTGTGTGTGAATGTGTGTGTGTGTGCGTGTGTGTGTGTGTGTGCGTGTGCGTGTGCGTGTGTCTGTGCCTGTGTCTGTGTGCGTGTGCGCGTGTGCGCGTGTGCGCGTGTGCGCGTCTGTGCGTGTGCGCGTGTGTGCGTGTGTGCGTGCGTGCGTGTGTGCGTGTGTGCGTGTGTGCGTGTGTGTTTTTGTGTGTGCCTTGCTGGCCGTCCCCCCGCTTGCATGTGGGACAAGTCGACATGCCGTAACCCGGGTTCCTCGACGCGCGAGCGGATCGCCTCTACCACGGCGCGACGACTGGCGTGTACGTGTGTGTGTGTGTGTGTGCTTGTGAGTTTGTGTGCTTGTGTGCTTCTGTGCTTCTGTGCGTGTGTGCCTGTGTGCGTGTGTGCCTGTATGCCTGTGTGCCTGCGTGCGTGTGTGCGTGTGCGCATGTGTTTGTGTGTGAGTTTGTGAGTTTGTGTGTTTGTTTTTTGGTGTGTGTGTGTGTGCGTGTGCGTGTGTGTTTGTGATTGTGTGAATGCGTTCCTGGCCCCATCCAGGAGGCGCGCAGACTGACCCTGACGCAGGAAAGGGCCTGGCCAGGGTAGTTGGCGTTATCATTGACACGGTGTCCTGGAAGTTTCGGATTTTGCGGATTCATGGGGACCATCTTCGGGTCGGTCCATGTTGGTAGGAATCGTAGTAGGCAAGTTGTCGCTGCGGTCATGGATCAAGTTCGCGATGTTCGGTTCACGCGCATGTTTTGTCCCCTTTTCTTTTTCCCCAACCGTCCTGTGGTGTTGGGTCCTCGTTTTGAGTCCGCAGCGTCCTGCGTCTCCTCCCATCCCGCCTCCCTCTCTAACCAACCATCCCGTGGTAATTGGGTTCTCGTTTTGAGACCGCAGCGCCTCGAGTCTCACTCACTCATTCCTCCTCCCCCTCCTCTATCGTTCCTCTCCGTGCTTCTGCTCTCCGTATGTCCTCGTCGCCGTGCCCCCATGAGAATCTCAAGCGAAGCCCCCAGTGACAAAGTGCGCACATGGCGGCATCGCTTCGATTTCGGCAAGCATCTCACACGTTTCGTTGCCCCATGGGGAGCTCCACCGAAGGCCCCAGTGGCAGGGTTCGCGTGGGGGCCCCTCGCATGTCGGCACGCCCCTAACATGTCTCGTGGCTCCATAGGCAGCTCCACCGAAGGCCACAGTGGCAGGGTTCGCATGGCGGCCCCGCTTCTTTGTGGCACACCCCTCAATCTTTCCGTGGCCTGATAGGGAACTCCACCGAAGGCCCCGGCGGCAGGGCCCGCATTGCGTACCGCCGCCCGACTCGGCATACTTCTCGCATGCTTCGTGGCCCAGTAGGGAGCTCCGCCGAAGGGCCCACCGGCAGGGTCCGCATGGCGTACCCGCGCCCGATTCGGCACGTCCCTCACACGTTTCGTGGTCCATAGGGAGCTCCACCGAAGGCCCCAGCGGCAGGATCCGCATGACGCACTGGCACCCGATTCGCCTTGTATGTGTCGTGGCCACACTGGGAGCTTCACCGAAGGACCCAGCGGCGGTGTCTGCATGGCGTACCCGCACCCGGTTCGGACCGCTTTTCGCACGCTTCGTAACCCCACCTTGATGTCATCTGCTTCGCGGTATGCACATTTGCATATGGCAGTGTCCTTCGCCAGGACATGTGTTTCCTCAATTGAGCAATGAATGACCTGCTGGCAGGCGGTTTCAGCACGTGCAGCGATCGATATCGCAGAACCCAACATGTCCAGATGTTGAAGCCAATGTATTGCCACGGGGATGATGCAGAGACCTAGCATCACGCAGTCATAAATTTGCCGATCTACCGGGCACGCACGGAAAGGAAGTGGAGTATCTTTACCCACGGCCCCAACGGCCCCGCCTAAGGACTTTGGGCGGGGCCGTTGGGCCAAGGTCCCACAATTCTGCGGACCCACTCCAACGGGGCCCTTCCAGTTTCCCCGCTGGAAGAAGAACACAAATACAAAACGAACGCACAGACGCTGTTTCGCCCAGAAAAAGCAAACACGTGTGCGACGTGAAGTGAATTGCGTGAGCGGAAAATCATGAGTCTTGAGTGTTCACCCTCGCCTGAGGCAGCGGCGCCATAGTGAACCATGACCATGAGTGGGTTTTGCGTTCTTGCGAAACCGCTGTTCCAAATGGGGTTGTGGCCTGCGCTGTGGCGACTTCATATTGTGGTTCGGTTCGCACCAGGCCTCGGCACCAGTGTCGGCCGTGAGTGTGGCGGCGCTGCTCGGCGGCGAAATCCGAACCCCGCCCCCGCCGATCAAAGATTCGGGCAGCTCGATGGGCGGCGGGGTAGGGCTCGGAATTCGTCGAACACGCATCCCATCGGTTCAGGAGAATCGATAGTTGGTGGGGGTAAGGTTCGGATGTCGCCACCTAGATGCAGGAAGAGCACAGACTCGGACCAGGAGTGCACCTGACGCGGGAGCGCCGTTTCTGGAGCACGGACAGCAGCCAACGCAGTTGCCATGGGTTCGGTTTCAGCCCCTTCTGTCGCTTCGGGCGGCGCACCTCGCAAGCTGGTGTTGAAGTGGAGGATCGAGTCGGATCCTCCTGCCTACTGTCGCTCTCCCTGCTCGGCCTCCTCCCCATCCTGCTCAAGGACCCGCGCTGCTGGGACTGCAGCACGCGTACGCGCATGTGCGGCGCATGAGTGCGATGTTGCACGTTGTTCTACGCAACGCCTCATCGCCTCCGCGGTAGGAGTCTTGCTTTTATGTTGATGTCATTGTTTGACGAATAATGGGTTCCCGATTTGTTGTCGCATTGTCATCATTCTCGTAGTCTTGTCCAGGAGTCCACGTGCCCCTGCCACAGTGGCATTGCCGACCTCGGGTCTATTGCAGGTCGTGGCATCAACACGACCCAGATCGGAGTTCGTAGCCTCTTCGGCTCAAGAAACGCACCTGACTACAATCCCTTGGCGCTTGAGCATGTCTGACTAATGTAGCTACGTCATGTGTTGGATCCGTCTGGGTCTGACATTTGTTGGCGGATGCGTCCACTTCTGCTGTGGGTCGCTTCTGAGAGCGCAGCAAATCCGGCTCGTGTCACGTGGGCCGACAGTTGAGCCTCACATTTCGGGTCATAGCATCCGCAGTTGGATGGCCTATCATCACCCTGTCCGTCAGGGATGGGATGAAGCGATCAACATGCTGCTAGATTCGAATCGTGGCTCTGAAGCCGAGGAGCTTCACTCGCTCAGAAGTCAAGTTGTGAAGAAACTTGTTACCAGAGACCATTCTCCCGAAGTAGGTATGTTCGATAGTGGTATCGGTGGCCTCAGTGTATACAAGGAGCTAAAGGAGCAGTTCCCTCACGTCCGTGTAGCTTTTCTAGGAGACCTGGAAGAACCAGGGTACAGCAAGATATCATCACTCCGTGTCGCCGAGCTCTCCCGTGACATTGTCACATGGCTTCAGAAAGCCCGCGGCGTTGGTATGACTTTGGTGACTTGCAATCTAGCTTCATATGCAATGGGCCAACATGGGATTTTTCAGGACGACGCGTTCAAAGATCATCCGGTCATTCCAATCACTCCCCCTTATGGTAATTTTTTCGCAGCGAGGAGCCGTATCGATCCGCAGAGAAGAGCTGTAGGCATTTTTGCATCGGATTCTGTATGTTTGTCTGGGTTTATACAGGCTTCCATTCGCACAGCTGAAGGTTTTTACATAGTTGAAAACGCGGTGGAGTTCGAGGATCAAGCACGCACATCAGATTGTATCGGTTGCAGCGAGTGCCATTTGGCTGTCGATCACATGCACCCTTGGGAAAAAGGGCCACAGGTACCAGAGGTGGAGGTAATGCTTCGAAAGAAGTTCAGGAGCTACCTGGGCCCAGATGGGACGCCCTTGATCGACTACTTGGTATTTGGATGCACTCATTTTCCTGTTCTGGCAAAAGCAGTCTCTCGAATATTCGGCAGCGGGGTCATGTTTGTAGACCCGGCCGTCTACCAAGTCAGACTTGCAGCGCGTTGGATTCAAAGTATGCAGGTATCAAGTTCAGTTTATCTTGGGCACAATCATTCAGATGAGTTCTATGCTGGAATTGAGCAGGACCGCAATGGGAAAGTCGATGTCATTGAGGCTGTTGTGAAGTCGGTGCTGGACATCGGAAACTCTTCTGCCCTGCTCCCCATGAAGGTAGTGCGAGCTTCCTGCGCTGATCGCATGGGGCGTTCTGGAATATGCCTTGCATTGAATGACACGTCCACTCCACATCCATGCCTTGGGCAGTCCGTAGCACTTCCTGCGCAGGATGAGCGTCACTTGCTTTCACTGAGCTTGAAGCGCACTGGAAGAGGTCTGTGTAACAGGAGTGGCTAATCACACATGCAATGTGCAATTCGTGACCCGACTGCTTCCTGGCACACCTTGAGCACAGCCATGCCAAGCGCGGGCGAGAGACGCTCAAACGAAAGGGATGACATGCTGATCAGTGATTTGCCAATGTGTAAGGGTGTGCGCGGTGCATTGCACATCTATGTTCAGTTGTCGCGCGTTGCATCCACGCGGAGGGGCGTAAACAAGCCAAGGCAGAACATTTCCTTGATCCTCCCCCTCCTCCTTCTCCCTCCTCCTCCTCATCCTCCTCCTCCTCCTCCTCCTCCTCTGTCGAGCGCAGAAGTTTGACGCCTGCGATGCTGAAGCGCTTGCTGGCGGGTGCTCACCTGCGAGGGAAGGGGAATGTGCCTCGATAGGCCCAGGGCCAGACCGATGCCAGCATGTAGTAGGTGTCGCGCAGTTGACGATGTGTTGGGCTCGGTTCACGGTGCCTTGTCTTGTCCTCCTGTCCTTGTCCCCCAAGCGGCGTCGCCGGCGCAGGCTCAGAAGGCCCCTCCTCCCTACGAGGAGCGCGGCATCAAGTGCGCCCGGCCTCTCCTGTCGCCATGGGATGCGCGGCGCCGCATAGCAGGCAGAACTAGAGAGAGAGAGAGAGGCAGAGAGAAAAGTAGAAGCAGCGCGAGAGCATAGGGAGAAAGAGAGAGAGATGCTTAGAGTGAGCGAGAGAAACACAGAGATAGAGAGAGAGAGAGCGATAGAGAGATGTGAAGAGGAGAAATGAGGAGGCGGAGGAGGATGATAATGGCGGAGGAGGATGAGGAGGCGGAGGAGCATCGAAGAGGAGGACCATCAGGATCGAGATTAACGCATTCTGTTCATTCTGGGCCCTCTATGGCCCTCCGGTGATTGGGTGGTGCAGTCCGTGGAGGAGATTGGCCGCTGCGGGGAGGGGGAATGGAAGAGGGCGGGTAGGAGAAGCGAAGAGACTCTTCGGCTTGGATTGTTGGTCAGAGTTCTCAGGGATGCTTCTTGGGGTCTCTTCGGAGCGTTCTCGGGGGCCTCTTAGGGGTAGTTTGGGGGCCTCTTGGGGGCCTCTTGGGGGCCTCTTGGGGGCCTCTTGAGGCCTCCTGGGCGCTTCTCGGGGCCTGTCGGGGGCCTTTCGGGGCCTCCTAGGGGCCCCTCGGGGCCGAGGGCTCGAAATGCCCGTTCGGGTCCCCCAGCTGGGTCCCCTCTTGGAGCCGTCTTTGGCGCCTCTTGGGCCGTCTTGGAGCCCACTTGGACCGGTTTGACTTTCTTGGAGGCCACTTGGGCCGTTTTGGCGCAATCTTGGGGGCCTCTACGGCCGTCTGGGAGCGTCGGGAAGCCGACGAGGCGAGGGCGTCTTGAGGGCTATCTTGGGAGTCTTGGAGCGATCGTTCGGCGACTCAGGGCCTTCTTGAATCGTCTTCGGGGCCTCTTGAGGTCGTCTTGGCCCGTCTTGGAGCCCTCTTGGGCCCCAAAGTCATGCGAGAAGATGTCCCGGAGCCCAGGGGAACCGCGCCAAGACAACGAAGGTTTGGGAACTTGGGGTCCGGACCCTTTTAAAAACCCTGAGGCTCGAGGACTGCAGGGGACTGGGCAAAGAACCTGAGAACACGCCCATTCCGTGCCCAGCGGCACGGTGGCGGATGTATGTGCGCACATAAGTACTACATATAAGGGTTTTCGGCCCATCACAGCACCGTGCCTGGGTTGTGGGCCATGGGCCTCCAGGATGCTTGTTGGGATGTCCCGGGAGGCTTCTCGGGGCCCTCGCAAATGCAGTTTTTAAGCTTTGGGGGCTGTTTGGATGGCGTTTGGGGGGCCTTGTCGGGGCCTCTTGGGAACTCTTGGGCCGCCTTGGTTTGGGGGGCTTCTTGGATCGTCTTCGGGACAACCTGGGGGTCGTCTTGTACGCTCTTAGGCCCGAACAGGCGATGATGTCAAGCCCATAACAAAACTTGAGGGGCACCTGCGACTTTTGCCTCTCGGGCCCCGCTTGCGTGTCCTGTTTAGGTCCTCTTTGAGCGTTGTGGGGGCCTACAGTCAACACGCATAGCAAAAATGAGCAAGGTTCCAAGGTGACCATTGCAGGGTTTACCCCTCCCGCTGACCCCATCCCTGGGTCTGGACGGCAGGGGCGGCGATCCATTGGAGCGTCCAAGATGGCCCATGATGGCTGCAAGAAGGCCTCAGAGATCCCAAGCTGGCCTCCAAGATGGCTCAAGATATCCCGCTATGGCTCAAGGTGGCTTCCAAGAGACTCCCAGCGGCCCCAATCCACTCCCAAGACGAATCCAAGTGTCGATGGACCCCCAAGAAGACCTCCAAGAGACCCAAACCTTTCGAACATCTTAAACGAATTATGTCTTTGGGTGTCTCGCCTTTTCTCTTCCGATGGTCTTCTGATGTCCCGAGATAGCTCGAGGATGGCCCCAGAGGGCCCCAAGAGCAGCCCAAGAGGGCTCCAAAACGGCCCCCAAGAGGGTCCGAAGAGTGGAAGATCGGCAGAAGCCTGTGTGATTGTTTCGTCGCCGTCCTCCTTGTCGCTAATGATCGCCTTCACTCTCATCCTTCTCCTCCTCAATGTCCTCCTCCTCCTTCTCCTCGTATTCCTTTTCCCGTCCAACCCTCGTCCTTTTCCTGATCCCCCTCTCCTCCTGCGTCTGGTCCTTCTACTCCTCTTCCTCCTTCTTTTCCTCCTCCCCCTCCTCCTCTTCCTCGTCTTCGTGTTCCTTATCATCGCCCCCTGCTTTAAATCGTCTACACCACCACCACGACCACCATCATCATCATCATCACCACCATCATCGTCATCAGCATCAGCATCACCATCGCCAGTCTCAGCATCATCATCATCACCACCAGCATCATCATCGTCCGCATCGTCACCACCATTACCATTACCACCATCGCCATCAACATCATGATCATCGCCCTCTCCACCATCATCATTATAATTTTAGTCGTAACCATCACCAGCATCATTACCATCATTAGCATTGTCATCATCAGCGCCGTCAGCACCATCAAAATTATCATCAGCATCAGCATCAGCACCATCATAGCACCCATCATATTATTCATGATAAAAATGAACACCATAATCATGAACACCATCCTCAGCATCATCACCATCGTCGTCACAATGATCATCACGATCATCACCATCACCACCATCATCATCAGCATCCGCATCACCCTCCGTAGCCATGCCGGCTCAAGGCGGTGCATCCCCAGCGGGTGCGAGGCCTTCGTGGGCGGTGTGAGCACTCTGGGGAGTGTTGGCAGAGCCAACGTCCTTCAATTTCCGATCGTACTGCCGTGAGCAATGGCCGTCGTGGTGATCAAGCAGGATTTGCGCGGTGCTCAAAGTGACAATACAAGTGGACATGAAGACCCGCCCCTGCTGCTCCAGCTGCGGTCATCAGCTGGCCCCGTCGCCCTCACCAGCGAGAGAGCCCGTGGGAGCCTGGGCCAACCATGCAGCACGAGCAGCAGCGCCTGCACCCGCTCCGCCCTGGGCCGCAGGCCGAGCGGACAGGCAGCCAAGTCGCCCCCCGCGGAGAGGTGGCCGTGCTGCCAGCCAGTCGGTGCGCGAAGAGACGAGACCGTCCAGCGCCGCAAGGAGGAGCTCCCCAAGGCCGCCGTCACCGCCTTCCAGCACCTGGAGGCCGCGCTGCTGCCAGCGCCTGCGGCGACTAGGGCTGAGCTGCCAGACGAGGCGGCCCAGCTTGCCTGGGGGGCCGCCAGGCGGGCCACCAAGGCCCTCAACGAGGCCATAGACGCCACCGAGCAGGCCCGCTCATGGCTCGCGCAGTGACAGGAGTTGGGGGACGCCCTCGCCGCCGAATACGCTGCAGCCCTCGACGAGCAGACGCGGGCCACCGCCCATGCCGAGGCCTGTCTCGAGAAGGAGCAGGGCGCCTCGGCTTCCGTCTCTGCCAACCTCCAAATCCGTCCTGGTTGGGAGAGAGGGCCTCTCCTTCGAGCTGGGCGACGCCTTCGACTTCGAGGGCGTCGCCCTCACCGAGGCGGAGCAGGCGGAGTGGGGCCTCGCGCTCGAATAGTTCAAGGCCGAGTTCTCCAAGCAGGTGGGGCCCATGTTCAAGCCAGCCGCCGAGGAGCTCAGCCGACGGCGAGAGGCATTGTCCAAGCTGCAGGAGGACTTCCGCAGGAAGACCAAGAAGAGGCGGTGCGAAGACGAAGGCACTGATGGCGCCGGCGGCCCTGTTGCTCAGGAGGCTGGCACTGCGGGGGCCGACAGCGCCAGCAGGGCGGGGGCCCTGGGTGCGGGGGGCGCCGCGGGCGCCTGCGGCGCTGGCCCCCAGCGCGGCGCCGCTGGCGGCGCGGCGCCAGCTGGGCGGCCCGCCACCCCAGCGAAGGCGAGCATCTCCAGGGAGCGCCTGAACGAGCTCGGGGCGGCAGCGAAGGCCGACCGCGCGGCTGGCCAGGCTGGCAAGCCCCCGGCGTCAACCTAGCAGCGGGCGGCGCCGTGGCGGGGGCCGAGCTGGCCAGTTGTTCACTTTCGTCTTCGCGAACGGCTCTGGTTGGGGACCGCTCGCAACCACATGTAGGGCGGGCCCCTGGGCGAGGCGCAGGAGCTGGCGAAGAGGGCGCGTGCTGGGCAGCGCTGGCTCGCGCAAGAGACCCGCCTCTTCCCCGGAGGCGCCGCCCGCGAGGAACAGCGGCTGCGCCGCCGAGGCCTGCGAGGCGCCCTCGCCCCTGACAGCAGGAAGCAGGACAGCCTCGACCTGCGGCGGCGGCAGGCAGCGCCAGGGGGCGCGGACGCGGCGGTCTGGTCGGGTCGCGGCGCGGCCCAGCCCCTGCCTGCCACCTCCTCTGCAGCAGCCGAGGCACCTGGGGGCCGGCCGCAGCATGTCTCCACGGGCAGCTACACATGCTTCCACACCGATGGGGGTCAAGCGGGGCGGCGCCCTCGCGGCCAGCGTGTATCTGGGCGGCGACCGCCTGGGAGAGAACCTCGGGAGGGGCCCTGCGGGCCCTCGGGCGCGCGCTCGAGGCGTCGGGGGGCCCTTCGTGATCGGCGGGGGCTTCAACTTTGGGCTTGGGTTATTCACGGATAAGGCTCGGCTCTGGCTCGAGGGCATCTGCGGCCAAGTCGCCAGCAACTCCGAGGGCCTCGGCGGCTGCCACTTCGCCGAGGACGCGCCGCCATCGGGGCTCGACTTCTTCATCGTGTCTCAGGACCTCGCCCGCAGCTGGGGCCCAGAGCTGCCGGGTCATCGACGCCCCCGCCCTCTGGCCGCGCCGAGCCGCGGCCCTCGCGCCGAAGCAGGGGGGCGAGGAAAGAGGGGAAAGGAGGCTCGTCGCCCCGCGGCCCTTCCCGCTAGAGAGGCCAGTGGGTCCTGCTCGGGAGCCCCCGAGGATCGACGCCGAGGTGCAGGCGCTCTGCGAGGGCGCCAACTGCCAGAATGACCTTGACAGGGCCTTCCTGGGCATCATGGGGCACGTTGAGGACGAGTTGCTGAGCATCTACTACATCGACCCCGCCGACGCAGGCAAGATGGTCGGGAGGGGGCGCCCATCCCTCCACCGCTGGCGACGGCCACCGAAGGGCCCTGGAGGACGCCTACAGCCCTCGGCCCGCGGAGAGGCGCGGCCGTTGCAGGCCCTGGCGCTTTGGCTGCGCAGAGGAGCCGAGGGCCCCCTCCCAGACGCCACGCGCCGTGGCCTGCCAGCCGCCTGGAAGGGCGCTCCCCAGGACGGCCCCTCCGCGTCGCCTGAGGCCCGCGCTGCCTGGGCAGACGCCCTGACAGCTGGGGCGACCGCGCTCGCGGACACCTTCCGCGTGGGCCAGGCCAAGGGCTTCTCGGAGTGGGTTCCGCGGTCAATGAAGGCGGGAGGTGGAGCTGTCCATGCCTACAACAGGGGGCCCCAGGGCGGGCTGCCCGACGAGATCGTGGAGGGCGCCCCCGTGGGCGGGCGGTCGACGCGGTGGCCCTGTTCTGGCCCCGAGCTGTCTGGGCTCTGAAGGGCTCAGCGGGGCCGTCCGAGCCCGCGCCCAGGCCTCCGACGAGGCCGCCGCTGGAGAGGCCCTCGCTCGAGCGAGCTGGCAGGGCGGCAAAGCAGTTTGCCGGGCGCACAGGGGCGGGGGCCGACCTTTTCAACCCAAGGCTCATAGCGGGCCTCAGCAACCTCTGCGTCGAGAGCCTCGACCTCTGCATGGCCTGCGAGCGCCTCGGTGTGTTTTTTTTTTTTTTTTTTTTTTTTTTTTTTTTTTTTTTTTTTTTTTTTTTTTTTTTTTTTTTTTTTTTTTTTTTTTTTTTTTCATCGGCCGCGAGCTCAATGCAATTAGTCGTGCCCATCGATCCCAAGGGCGGGTTCCTTCCTACACGGCCCCTCGCCCGGTTGCCGAGATGGCGGGCGCGCGCCCGCCAGAGGGGCAGCCGCGCGCGGGAAGCCAACCTGCCGCCAGAGAAGAAGGACACTTCTGGAGTGCCCAAGGGAAGGCCGCGGAGGAAGCTGTCTGGTGGCAAGCCCTCCTCCACGAGTCAGCGGACAGCGGGAGTGCATGTGCTGGGGGGTGTGCCCCAGGACTTGGAAGGCCTGCGAGGCGGTCGCGCTGGCTGTCGCTCAGAGGCGCGCGGAGGCAGGAGGGCGCCCTGGCCCCCACAGCTTCGGCGCTCAGCATTTACAAGGGTCCAAGGGGGATCGTCCTCGCCGGCATCGTCTCAGAGGCCTTCCACCGGGCGACGGGCTCGGTGGCTGGGCGCGGACGCGCCGGACGCCTGCCCCGATGCTGCGTGGCCGTCGTCGACGCGGAGCACCGCGGAATGTGCATGCTGGCGCCCCTGGCCATCGCGTTCGATGACTGCTCCCTGCGCGCGACGGGCACCGAGGCAGAGGTCGGCATCTTGCTGGACCAGACGGCGGGGGCAGTCGCCGGGAGTTTCGAGCGGATCTTGGGCGCCGTGGTTTCGAGGGGAAAGAGCGAGATCCTCGGCGGCTCCGACGGGCTCCGCCGCATCATAGAGCCCAGCGTGGCTGTGGGCGCCTTCTTGCGCGCCAAGGCGGCCAGGAACCTCGGGGTGGACTACGCCATGGGCGGGAAGGCTGTCACCGTGGCCAGCTCGAGCACGTTCACGAGCAGCTCCCAGGCCGACCGCGCCCTACGTGTGCGACGATCGTCCAAGGCCGCGGGGGCTCAACTCATCTACTCAGGTCTGAAGCCTGTCGCGACCTACGGCATCTCGTGCATGGCCTGGTCCACCAAGGCGCCGCTGCGCTGGCGGTCGCAGGCGCGGCGATCGCGTTCGGCACGGGCGCGGGCAGGAGCGTTCAGCTACCTGGTGTCCGAGAAGCCGTGCGACGACCCCCTATGCGACCCTCGGCGGGGGCCGAGGGCCTGGCGGCGAGCCTGCAGCGCCCCGTCGACCCGGGGGCCATCGACAAGCGCGCCCTCGGCCGCGAGGTCCAGGCCGCCTTCATCAGGAAGCCCTAGCGGGACACCGCCTGTCGCGACCCCATGCTGAGCCACTTGGCGGGGGGCGCCGCCGCGAGGGGCATGCGCCGCAGACTCTGCAGGGCGCAGGGCAGCCCACCCTGGGCGGCGCGCTGGTCTTCGGCCAGGAATTCCGTCGTCAGCTGCCTCTGGCCTGCGCGGCGGCGTTCCGAGGCCTCCCCGCCGCTGGCGAGTTCAGGGCGCTGCCCTGTGGGCTGCGAGGCGAGGGGGGCCCTCGGGCACCTGGCTTGGGACTGCCCCGCGCTGGGCGGCATGCGCAGGCAGTGGGAGGTTGACGACCCGAACCTCGACCGCTTCCTGAGCTCTGGGGGCCCTCGCGACGCCGACAGCGTGCGCGCCCAATGGTCGAGGCGCCTGGTCAAGGATCCGAGACGCGGCCACCCCCCGCCGCTCGCCGCGCACATGGTCCGCGCAGCGGGGCCAAGAGCTGGGGGGGGCACTACATGGCGAGGTGTTCTTGGGCGGCTCCGCCCACAGGGGCCAGGGCCGCATCGTGGCGCGCGCGGGCTGGGCAGCTTGCGCCACCGTCCCCACGGGCGCTGAGCTCTCCAGCATCTCGTGCCCAGTGTTGTGGCCCTGGCCCCAGGGGTCGGGGGCAGGTGAGCTGCTGGCCGCGGCTGAGGCGCCGGCGCATGCTTTGCCCCCAGTCATTTCTCCGGTGACTCGCCGCTCCCGGTTGACGGCTGGGAGGCCGGCGAGGAGTGGTTCGCAGGATGGAACAGACCACGCCGTGAGATATGGCAGTTTTTCTGGCGTCGCGCGGGCGACGTTGGCTGCGAGTATATCCAGATAACCAAAGTGAAGGGGCACGCTTTCATGAATGATGCGTCAAGCGGGGTCATCTCTCTCTGGCAGCGTCAAGGTAACAGTTGTGCAGATGCCCGTGCAGAAGAAGGCGCGAGCTGTCACCCCTTTTGGCCCGCGCTCGCTGAAGCTGCCACGATCGCCGATGCGCGGGGGGCGAGCTTGGGTCGGTGGGTCGGGACGGCGGCGCAGGAGGGATACTGTTGGTTCAGGGTCGAGGACGGTATCGACCCCCCTGCCCTGGCCGCCGTCAGATGCGCGGTGCCAGATTGCAAGCAGAGGAGCCACGCGTCGTGCGATGCATGTGATGCCAGGCCATGCCCGCGACACGGCTCCACCATTGTGTCAGATTCTGGAGTTGCTCTTTGGAGTTGCCTCGCCTCTCCTCCCCAAGCGCCCCTGTCCCAGCCCGCGCTTGCCCGCCGGCCTCTGGAGGGGGGGGGGGTCGCTCGGGGGGGCCAGGCTTCGCCGCCGCCGCGCTGGCGGCAGGAGCTGCCGCCGCGGCCGCGAGCGGGGGAGGGGGGGCCAGCGGCGAGGAGGAGCAGCAGCCTGCGCGGCAGCAGCAGCAGTCCCCACAGGGCGGAGGCAGCAGCAGCAGCATAGGACCACCAGGGGGGCAACCGAGTTCGGCGGCCAGTCTCTGGGAAGAGTTGCCCCCATGATGGCATCTGCGTTTCGACCGTTCACGCGCGTTGTACCGCGCTGGGGGGGGGGGGGGGCTTTTGCTCGAGATGCGGGGCCCATGCGTCGTCCACGCGAGCGAAGGGCCTCGTCGAGCCGTGCCTAGGCCCACCCCACCCCCCCTCAGAGAGAGTTACGGAGTGTTTGAAGAGAGTGAAGCGAGGGCCCCACCCATCAAAAGGTGGAGCCTGCCCGCCTCGCCCGCTCCGCGACCGCTCGATATCGCCAGGCCGAGGCACTCCGAGGTAATGTAAATAGTTTGAGGGTGGGCGACTGCGATTCGGCGGCGACTTTCCTTGGGAGAGCGGGATCATCGTCGTTCGCCGTCGTCGTCGACGTCAGCACAGTCACCAGCATCACAATCCTTTTCAACATTGGCATCGGGCTGGTGAGGATGAGCTGGTGATGGAGACCGACGGACAGCTAGACCAGTGGACCAGTGAACAAATCGACCTCCAGACCGCTGGACCAGCGGATCGGAAGACCAAAAGGACCGTTGCACCAGTGGACCAGTGGATTGGTGGACCGTGGACCTGTCGACCGCCAGACTGGTTTGGAACAGTGGACCAGTGGACTCGTGGACCGACGATGGTTTTCAGGTGGATCGGTAGACCGGCGGACCCGTGGACCGGTGGACCGGCAGACCAACGGACCGGCAGTGGACCCGTCATGGCGGACCAATGGACCGGTGGATTGCAGTGGACCGTTGGACCAGTAAATCGGTGGACCAGCGGACTAGTGGTTCGCTGGACCGGCAGGTGGACCGTTGGATTGGTGGGCCGGTGGACCGGTGTATCGGTGGACGGGCCGACCAGTGGACTTCGTGGACTGTTGGACCGGTGGACCGGATGAACGGCGAACGTCTCCACAATTTAGCAGGGCCTTCGGAGGCAGCGGATCTAGATATTTTCGGGTCCCCAGGGGGTATGAAGGTATCCAGTTCCATTGCTTCCCGGGGTCCTGCACATCGGACCCCGAGATGGTGGACGCGTATCATTTCAAGCCTCGTATTTCTGTTCCCCCCCTCCAGTCCCCCTCCTTGTTTCTGTCGAAAGGAAACAACCTGTCGATAAATTATTGGAGGTCCGCGCGAATCTCTTGGGTCGGCGACGGACCCCTCCTCTACCCCCCTGGCGAGGCATGAGTTTTCGGAGGTCGTCGCGGTTCCCGTGGGTCGGTGCTGGACGAACACCTGTCGTGCGGGGGGGTCTCGCGCCGACCCGAGACATTCGCGCCGATCTCCGAACGTGAATGTTTATGTTGATGATTGTTGTTCTATCCCACTCCTCCCTCCTCCCGCCCTCCTTCCTGGTAGGAATTCTAGAGGGAGTCTGGAGCCACGCAGGTGGTGGAACCGGTCCAGAAAAATAGTTTGCAGTGCCCTATGCTAGCGTGATGTGGTTGATGCATCGCATCTTGTAGCGCGTCCTATGTTATGCGTTGTGTCCATGTTTTCCGTTGTTCGCATGTTACCGAATATATAGATAACCGATGTTAGTAATTATATGTTCGATGCCCCCGGCCACTGCTTGGGGTTGTCTGATCGAGTTGTTATTACCTTTATGTCTCACTGTCGGGTGTTGCCACTCATGCTTGTCTTGTTCTGCATCTCGTTACGCATCCTACTTGGCTACTCGGCCGAGCTCTACTTGCAAGCTGCAGAGTTATTTCGAGCGATGTATACGCCACCAGCTTCTTGGCCTTCTCCCCCCTCGGCGCCTGTTCCTCTCTGTGTTCGTCCTCCTCCGGCTCATGTTTTCGCGGGTGCCTTACCCTGCCAGTGTTCCCTGTTTTCTGGTTCATCCCTCAGCTCTTTGGCCTCGCGGGTATCACCGTGTTTCCAAATGTATCATATCAGCATTCGTTGTTTCCTTTTCCTCGGCATCCTTCCCTAATGTTGCCTCCTGCCTTTGGCCTCGCGACCGTTGCCGCTTTGCCCCTCAACCCCGGAAGGTACTTGCTGCTGCCGTTGCACGATTCGGTGCACGAGGCGGAGACTATGTTGAGGCTGGTAGTTGACAGTGGGAGGGGGGTCATATGCGTGTACGCAGTGATGCCAACAGCGTTGTAAGTGCGCACCTGTACTTAAGAAGCTTACGCCATTCCGCCGACCCACAGAAGACAAGATGTACGGCGTCCGATTTCGTATGTGCTGAGAGTTGTTTCCCAGTGTGTTGTCTGCTTGCACAGTCGGAATGTGGCCGAAGCAATGCGGGTCAAGATCACGAGCCCCTTCGTCCAATGCCAGAGGTCCCATCGAGATTAACCAGAACGAAACACACTATGGTCATGAGGAATGGGAGGGGGAAGAGGACGACGGGGAGACAAGAGGCTGAGGATCATGTTCGTGGAGGAGGACGAGATGACGACCTGCAGGTAAAGGGATGTTGCGGAGTAGCAGTGAGGGAATGAGGAGAGGAGGACGAGAGGAGGACAGGGATGATGATAATAATTGTGGCATGAAGAAAGAACAGGAGGAGGATGTGCAGGAGGATTATGCCATGCGATGCGATCCGACTGCGCCGGAACCATGTCTTCCGCGCCCGAGAAAGGCGCCAAATCGACGTCAGGCAAATCGACATCAGGCCTAGGCAGATTGCCGACAATCTCTGGGGGCGGCATGTCGTCGAGGCTCGGACGCATTGGGGGCGAGGGGCCTCAACATGATCCGCCTCGCAGAGCTCTGGAGGTCCCCAGAGCCCCTCGGCCCCCCAAAGGGCTCTGGAGGCCTCTGGAGGCACAAAAGGCTGCCAGGAATGCCCCAAGAACTTCCCAAGACGTCCAAAGACTCTCCTCCTCCATCCTCGAGATCCGAAAGACACGTATGATGGACCAGCTTCCCTGAGCCTCCACCGTCCGCACAGTCCACACAGAAGGTGTGGAAGGTGAAGGTTCCATTTTGGGGGTTACATTTTACAAGTCTATGCTAGTTGTATTGGATTCCAGCGTTTTCGCAGAATTATACGCATACACGCATGATACAAGCATGCCAAATACATACATGTACAAATGACATCCATCGCAATACACACATGTGCGCACATAAGTATGCATCTACATCTTGTTTGACGCTTCGCGTATCCTCACCAGTTTCTCTGACGATTTTTTGACTACTCCACTGGGCTGTAGTCTGAGCACACAACGGCCATGGAGACAGCAGAGAGCGAGAGAAGCAGGGAGACAAGGAGAGAACAAGACAGACAATGGATGGTGTGTGCACAAAGGAATTACACATGCACGCAAATTCGGCCCAGGTTACTTTCGCGATATATCAACATGCGCAACAGAGCATGCGTGCATGCACTCTCCCAGCACAGACGAGAAACACCCGGGGTGCCGGAATCACTCGCACCACGCCAGCATAAATGTGTGACTGTAAATATCAATGGGCCGTGCAAGGGGGAGAAAGAAGAGGGGGAGCAGCAACGCAAGGGTTAAGCATTGGTAGCCCATTTCGCTTTGGCACGAAGAAGAGCACGAGACACACACGAGAGATAAGGATGCTTCAACAACAATCTGGACGCAGCATCTTCGAGGGCCTTCACGGGTACTCAAGGCACCGCAGTTCGAGAAACACAGACGCAATCGAACCTTCTGGGTCGACAACAAGACACCGATCCACACATTGAGTGATCAAGCCTATAACACTGCCAATTTTCTCCTGGAGGCTACGATTCGCATGCCAAGCCTGATAGCGAGGGAAAGGGAGCGAGAGAGGGGCCGGAGAAGAGAGAAGATCAACATTACGGATCTGAGGGCGTAGCTGGACACATGAACCCAAAATGAAATCAAAACCAACGAACACCGCAGGGTCTTCAATCTTCAAGTTCAAACATACATGATTGGTTTTGCGCGTGATGCGAGAATGCACGGCTCCAGTGTACGCAGATGAGAATTCTTTAATGAACTCTCCGGTAGCTGACTTAACTGCTCTCATTCCCTCCTCATCATTGCCGTGTTTTGTCCAAAAACATAAAACACCGAAAATGTCATCAGTCCAACGGCAAATAACGCTGTTGACGTGCTGGACATGGGGGAGGCTCACAATCGCAGGGACGAGGCATTGTTTCCGTTCCAGGTAACAGCACACAGCGTTAGAAACACCAGGTGACAAATTACTACCCTGTGTCATGCCTTCCCTTGGCGCGAACAGATCATGGCCAAAATGAAGAAAACCATAAGACAAGTCCATCTGCACAATTCGCTTAATATCATCAACGTGAAGGATAAACGAATTAGACGACACGACGCGACAATTATGAGGGGAAGGAAACACCCGATCACCACAAGCAAGATTACGGAAATGAGCCCGGAAACTCCTAGAGAAACACGTGGGACTCTCGCAATAACGATTGGCCGGCTTCCTACACCGAGGAATCTTGATGTATCGACGCCGGGTACCATGCTTATCGTACCACTCAGCAACGAGCCAATCCAATGCTTTCGAAATCAAGGCGCGCGGAACATTGTTAAAGAAATTCTCGATATCTCGTTTGAGCGACACCATCGTAGGCTCGAAGCCTCGGTCTTTCCACACCTGGCAATCAAGATTGAAAGAATGAAAGCGAGAGAGAACAGAAGCAGAAGAAGAAACGGAGATGGAAGCAGGACGGGTGGACAAGAGCATGAAATTGATGGCGCGACAACAGAGAGAGAGAGAGAAGAGACCTCTCAAACAGTGTTTGAATGAACACCCAGAGGCCGACTCTTCACAGCAAGATTCGATATCTTCGGCCAGCAATCAGCACCTCCGAACATGTGACTCTGCACAGACCTCACCGGAATACCGGTATAACTACAATGCGCCTGGAGCTCCTCAAACGCCTCGTGAATCACGGGCCACCGAGGGATTTTTGATCACGCCACGAATCACGACGAAAACACTCGCGAGTGCGACTCTGCCAACTCCGGGGACACATGATAGCAACCGTGCTTTTGTGCTTGTCAACTGGTGCCACCACAGCGGTGTCGAACAATGTACGACGCCACCATTGTACATCGCTCTGGGCCACACCAAAATGACGGAATTGATTATGACGCTGAAATTCCCTGGCTGTGAGATCATGCAAGTCACTGAGATCAAGGCCAACAAAAGGACACGCGATTACAAGAAGAAACAACATGTTGCGCAATACTTTCCAACTGCTGGGTTAAAGCGTGATGAGACCACACGCATGACCCTTCATAGTGGAAGCTCTTGGGAATGCAACCGGCCAGAGAAGACTCAGAAGCAAGACAACAAACATGACCATTAGAAGACACACCCACACGCAACATGCTTTGCAACACACCACACGTGCACGGAAATTCGTACCGGTCCAACTTGCGACCCCAATGCTTGGAATTCACCAGCATCAGTTTAGGGCTGGGGGCAGAACACCGCTTCATCTGGAGTGTCAGAGAAGTCCCGGCCGCTAACTGGGCAGTCATCTGTTGGCGAATCTCCGACAGCAGAAGAGAACGGAGAGGAAGGAGCGGGATCGTAGGAACACGAATTTGCACTGACACGTGGTTGCGTAAAAACTTCTTATCAAGTACTTGAAAACAACGATGTCTAGCCACACTTAAACTGTTACCGCAAAGGAGCCGAGGGAGGCGATCAAGAAGACGAGGGATTAAATCCGGCTTATGATTGCACACCCACTGTAAGACCTTATTGGAATAACTACCTTTCCTACGAAGCTCGCCTAGCCTCAACACTAAGGCAGAGAGGCTACGCTTTTGTAAACAATAAGTTGCGGAGATCTCTTTTTCCGCCCACGTGTCGCCATGTTGAATTTGACATCCGCGCAAAAACGCGTCTGGGTTGGCATTCCTGACAACGCGGGGCTTGGACGAGGTAGCTAAAGGCTTCACAACGTGCTGGGAATCACTGGCGTGCTCAAGTGCAGTGTGAACATGCTTCCGCACAAAGGGAACGTTCAATTGAGGCCTGTACAATGATATGCATTGCTTTTCAATGAATCGCATTTCAAAGTCACTAGAACTAGAAAGAATCAGCAGCGGCACCTGAATACATTCACCTACGCCAACAGATCGGATTTTAAAGTAGGCGGGGATTTGGGCATTCGCATTGCGACGCAAGAGATTATTATAATGCTCGGCAGTGCGGGTCTCGATGCCGCGAATGCTTTTTCCCGCGTAGCTCAGATTGCAATCGAGAGACACCCACATGCACGCGACATTACAAGTCGCCTCGGAAGACACCCTGTTCGCATTAACGAACTGGGCTGACTGCGCCAGAAATCTGAGAAGCTTAATGTGAGACCGGAGCGAAGAGCAACCGAGAGATTGGAAAATAAGGACAGAGCGAAGGAGCTTGAGAACAGCAAGAGCAGAGGACACAAAAGAGAGGACAGAAGGAGCGTGCTTAATGGACAAACAATACTTGAGATCCAAAAGATGTGCAACAAGATCAGACGACGTGTGCCGCAGGATTATGTACGCACGCTGCTGGCAATACCTGTTGCTCGTGCCGTTGCGAACATTAACAGGCATAATGCCGAAATTACGCACAGCATTCACAATGCAATCTACACGGGTTAAAGATGAAGCAAGAGGAGCCCGAACAGCCTGCATGCATGGAAGGGCCAACTTGTCTTCTGAATCCGCCCAAGAGATTACAGAGAAACGAGAGCATATGCAATCCTGTTGAGATGGAGCAAAGCAACAACAAGAATCACAGTTCAACTGCAATCGCTCAAAATGCGCACAAACCCTGCTGCGAGCACAGGCGTTCACCTGCCAATGCTCTGGCGAAAGTTGGAATATATTCTGATTGCCTCACCTGCGGGACCGCTCAGACAAGATCCTCGACCACTCCTGGGGCGCAGACGACGGAGCCGGACCGGGATCGCCAGCCCGCTGGCGGCGACGAGGGCGAGGATTCGGGGTACCGATCATGTGCACAGATGCTCCCCGCGGGTTCTTCAACTGCATATCATCACGAATGTCAGACCAAGAATGGTGCAATATCTCGCGCTGGTCGTCCCACTTGATCTTGATAT